CTCGACCTTTCCAGGTTAGAATAGATTTGGTTGAACCTCCAGAACAGATTTTTCACCATGCCATAAAGGTAGAGAGTAAAAAAAAAGTCAATTTAACTGTGAGTAATTTCGTCATTAGGGTCTTTCAAAATGCAGCAATACTAAGAATCAACCTTTCTCAGGTTAGTGATCTTTTAGAAATGGATTGACAGATTCCGCCTCATTTTTTGAAATAAAGATTTTAATATATGTAAGGCATCCAACTTTGATTTATAAATTGACTTGGGACGTTTCATAAAAAAAAAAAAATAATAATTAGGGCAATATTTGTTGAAAACAATTTATCGGAGAATTAGCTTCCTAAGACTTTTCACTAATAGCTTTTACACCATATACGTGTATATATACGTATATACGTACCATATACGTATATAGGTCTGTGTTATTGAGAAAGATTAAGATTTTTAAAATACATCAGCCAATGAAAACCGAGCAAAACATGCGTTACACCCGGCAACCTGATTAACTGAATTATATTTATATTTTATACTTGATAAAATAATTACGAGTTGGAGAGGAGGTTTTACCTCAGTCATTAATCTCCCACTCTCACCCTTAGCCTGGAAAAAAACCCATATAGCCTAATCGCGAGGTAGGAGAGGACAAAAAAATAAATAAATAAAGCAAATAAAACACTAGGTAGTCAAAGTGATAATTTTGACTTTTTTAAAAAAAAATATGAACTATAAAAATAAATCTGGTGCGGTGCGCGCATAACGTAACTTTCACTTACCACACTCTTGGCAGAAATAAGTATTTTCAGACAAAGGGGAAGTAAAAGTTAAAATTATAGACGCTATATTTATTTACATTTTATTGCGGGTACTTTTATTTGTTTAAGTACCTATATATTTACAAATTTTTATTTTTATATCGCTGTAATGTATAAAATTAAATATTAAATAATGCCAACGATGACATTTATGAAAACCGCAAAAGTATAGGTACTTAATATTTTCGGAGTCCGTATTATATTAAGCTCATATGTATGGAGGACTGTTTTAATCTTTCAGGTGAGCTTGTTTTCCTTTGGTTCCTCCATTACAACTATTCTCCGTTACGATTTCTTATTTTTCCTTTAGATAATTACCAAATTCTTTCATATTTTATATTTAACTATTTTTTATATTAAAATTAATTATTTCAAATAAAAAAAATAAAAGTACTTTAGAGGGAGCTAATTTTGAAAAATAGCTATTATAGTTAAGCCCTGTTATAGTAGAGAACATCAATGAGAATAAAACCTACATTATATTAAAAACTGCTTAATTTTACACTGATATACCGAGTTTAATCAAAATCGTCAGGGTCGTTTTCGAGAAAATAGTAAAAATGTGTAAAATTAGGTATAAAGTGCCTCTTCCTCGCACTCATAGGTAGATAATTTTATTTCTAAAGCGAAGAAGTCATGAATTATTTTTGAATGGAAGAGATGTAAACTAAAAAATAAATAAATAAAAAATAATTTTTAAAATATGTCAAAAACAAACCCTCTGAAATACTAGTAATTTTTTGTTTAGGTAACTAGTAAACGTTTCGCTTTTTCAGGCAACATCAGCAAAACATTAGATAAAATATAAATGCGGATCAGAGACAGCACATTACAACAGCCTAAACAAAATCTAACCAAATATATATATATATATATATATATATATATATATATATATATATAAAGGGGCTGGGAGCGCTTGCTATAGGTAATCAAAGTTAAGCAAGTTACGTCAAGCGTGGCTAGCAATTCGATGGGTGAACGTCCACCAAGGAAAGCCACGCTGTCCGAGATTTCTCTCCCCCCGGGCATGTGAGGCCCGTCAGGCTACTGGAGGCAACTCACACCGACCGGGCGTAGAATTGATGACCCTACCCCGGACTTTAAATCGGGAATAGGGATGTGGTCTAGGAGACCACACTCGCGGTCATCATCGGCATTGCAAAATAGTATAAAGTAACATTTTATAAAATTAAATTACTAAGGACTTCAATGATTTTTTCCTCCATAAAATTAGAAGAATGTGTACATAAAATACTTTTTGCAACAAACCGACGACACATCTTATTGTTAGTTTTGTTTGTTAATGTGAGATGAGTTGTCTCTAGTTTGTATTTAGGTTATCGTTAACTCGTTCAAAAGTGATCGATTTTGTTAAACGATGATTACTAATTCTTCATGTGTTTGAGATACGCAAGGATTTTTATTTTAATGCTTTTTATTCTTTTCATCATTTTTTTGTAAACATGTTGATATCCGAATTGCAAGAGGAAAATACAAATAATTAACAGTCATGAGAAGGATGACCCGTATTAAGACTGGAAATTGGATCGTAATGATAGCGACTCTTTAATTTTTTCGCTATGAGCCGACAACCCCGGGCGGCCCGAGATCTGACGAAGAGGATACGATAACTCGATGTCATTGCAATAGAGGACAGTTTTTTGGTTTGGCTCCACTTACAAGACCCCGGCGGCTCTCTCATTACCCGACCCTGTCTCCAGACTAATTCCTGACTGTCGCCGTCCTCCTGGCCTACCTTAATAGCGCGCCATCACCTCGCCTCTCGCCTGCGACGCCAGCGATCGCTTGTCTAGGGCTTGATTGCTCCATCAATCCAATACTTTTATACGTGCCCTTCTGGATCCAAGTGTCAAATATCAGAGGAGGAATTCCATTTTTTTATATTATTACATTTTTACTTTCCTACCTATACTAGGTAAGGAAAGTAGTGCAATCGGGTCAAATTTCCGATATGCGGTTTTCAACGGATACGTTTCAGAGCCCCCTGAGTCCGAAAAACACATTTTTAGAAATTGGTCTGTCTATCTGTGCCTAGATTTACTCGGGAACTACTGAACCGATTTTGTTGCTTCTTTTTTTATTTTGTAGGGTTTTGACTACTGATGCCTGTGACAGAAAATTGGTGCTCCATGCTCAATAGCTTGCGCTCAATAAATGAAAAACATGTTCTTTTTTATGAAACTCTCCTATAATGTTTTAATCATTGTCCTTTTAATTTTCGTATAGAGACTAAATTCCCGAAAAAAATCAGGAAAAAGTTATAAAGAAAAGAAAAATATTATAGGATCTAACTCCCTAAGTATATATTATACGGTAAAATTTATAATAAGACTTTTGAAAGGTAATTAAATTCCTAACAAAACAAAAAAAAATTATCGGAATCGAACCAGCATTAGCGATGATACAGCTTATTCTATTTTTTACACATTTTTTAACTTATTACATTCCTACTAGGTGACTTATTACATTCCTACTATACTAGGTACTATCTATAAGTCGTGTGAGTGGACACACCAGATATTTTTATTTTAAGCTAAGCTGTTTATACACATACAGACCATTTAGTGAAACTTGGTTATTTGGGGTTAGTGGATCTCAAATACTAGCTTATTCGTTATTCGTTATTTTATTTTTAATTCGTTATTTTCACGTTCGCAATACTTTCCTTTACTGTAGTACTTTTCATATATAAGAAAATGAGAATAAAATAAAAGTATAACAAAGTTATAAAAAAAAACATAACATTTCAATTAAAGTTGGCCACGACTTACATGTTGCAGCTCCTGACATCACCATGTTTTCTAAAGACGACGAGCACTGGTCAAAAAATTCCATCATGGAACATTTATTCTCATGATATAACGAAGTCCGTTTACTTTTTTCTTTTTCTTTTTTTTTTTTTTTGTTCATCCCTACCTCGCCTTTAAGGCTATACGGGATTTTCCCGGGCCGGGGGGTGAGGGCGGGAATTTAAAATCCCCTCCGGCATCGGAACGTGAACTCGTACTTTTTAAATCTTCTCAAATCTGTAATCCGATTGCCAGGCAACTCGCGGTGCTGTGCACACGCTTTAGCCCATTCGGCCACCCCGCCCCCGAAGTCCGTTTACTATTTAAGATTTTGGATCAAAGTGAGTTTATCGAAGAAATGTGAACCTGGAAATTATAATTGTAGTAGCTGGATTAGCCCCAGTTCCCGAAGTTTTTTTTCACCAGAACCCTTTAATATTTATAATTCAGTTAGCTTGACAATGTTTTATTTCTTCATAATGGAGGAGAGTTAATTCTGATATGACTATAATGTTGGAACCTGTTCCCACTGGCCATGTCACCTCCCCAGTGACCTGGGACGAGATGCAGTGTGGGATGACGCGCCCACTAATTCTCAGAAGCCGATTTCAGTTCAGACAATTATCAGCGTAGGCCTAAAAATTTTAATCCCGAGAACAAAGCAATAAACTTGCACAACAACAATGGCATGGCGAATATAGCACTTGGTGCTAATTTAAAACGGCTTAATCCACCTTTCTTGACAGGTGGCTCGGTTTTGTTCCTCATCTTTAAGAGTCTTCTATCAATCTATGAATTAGTTTTAGCTGTGCAACACACACACATACATATTAAAGTATTCAGCGATTTAAGTAAGAACAATCAAATAAGCCGTATGACATAATGACGAACACCCACCAATAACGGCAATAAACAACCAGTAGACTCTTAACCATTGATGGAGAAACCATAACCTATTCGATAATATCATTATCATTCGATAATATAAGACTAGTTCAACAAGCTATGTTAAATGAGAAATAGATAATAATGAGGCTTATATTACATAGAATTTTCTTAAATAAATTACCTGATTCTTATACATCCTTTGTTCGTGTAGCGAAAAATATACTGCTCAGTTACTATTTTTTAGATTGGCTTTTAGTGAGATGAATTGTTTCAGCAGAACAATCCATACACACAGATATATACATAGTCCTGCCATAAATATTGTTACAAGAAAATATAATCGGATTTCAACAGAATTTTTTTTTTTTTTTAAATCTTTATTAGAAAATAAAATGTATATCTATAGAGAGTAAAACAAAAAATAAATGATTCAAAATGCCCACCTTTTGTCTTGACACAGGCATTTAATCTCCGTGGCCAGTCATCAATCAACGCAGCACTTCATGATGAAAGCGGTCAACTTGCTCGGACCAGAGATTGTTTGAGGCTTTCCAAGTCAGGGTGTGCTCTGTGGCATGCCATCCTCTCCAGTTCGGACCAAAGCTGATAATTTGATGGGGGATCAGGGCTTCCTGAGGACTAATCCGAGGCAGAGATGAACTCTGGAATGTTCTTTTGCAGCCGCTGCTGAGTTGACATGGCCTTGTGAGCAGGAGCGGAATCCTGCTGGAAAACCTAATTACATCCAACAGAGTATCATTTAGATGGAGAGTGCATGGAGGATGGGAAAGCATTTGATTTTGGGAATTAGTCGGAGGTAATGATATTACTTCTTTGATAAACAAATATATTTTTCATTACAAATATTCTTTCGTTATAGCAGGCATGAAAAAATTTCAAAAATTTGTTTCATGAACTAAAATGGGGCGAAGTGTCCTAACCATAATCAACTATACATGTGGTTACTGCACTTGTAACTGTATATACATATATATTATTTAGTTATTTGATTAATATATACTAATACACCCATCATGAGTAAATGGTGAATATTTATGATTAAGAATAAACAAATTTCAGTTTTTCATATTTTCAGCACTTACTAGACCAACGCTCTAACCTTTCAATTAATTACAAAAGACTCACATACATGACCATAATAAGGCCTATTTGGACTTACGGAGTTGAGCTTTGGGGCTCCACTAAACCATCGAATTCCTCTCGTATCCAATCTTTACAATCCAAATTCCTTCGTAAAATCCTTAATGCTGCTAAATTTGTAACAAATAAAATAATCCATAATGACCTGAATGTTCCATATGTTTCAGATTTGGCCCAATCCAGATATCTATCCTACCATGATAAACTTCAGAACCATCCTAATCCTCTCGTTTCTAACATTGCCTCCCCCTCGATCCCTGATAATCCTGCCAGGCCTCTGAAAAGAAGATGGCCTCGTGATCTCCTAATTTAGAAACTTTATTAGAGTGCTACCAATGGGTAAATTCTCTATAAGCCTTGCCATGTCATGTATTTATCTATATCACATTTGCGGAATGTAATTTAAATTGTACAGTTGTAAATTTCATAAATAATAATAAAAAAACTTTTATATTGAAGAAATTTAGCAGAATATTTAAAATTGCCGTAAATTTAAACTCATAAAAGATAACAGTGGAGTATAAATAAATTTAAAGAATAAACTATGTTCTACAATTTTCATTCAGACGATTTTTTTTAGAACGAAAGGCTGTGTTGTTGAGATGACAAGTTTGACAAAAAATGCGAATATGTGCTGTAATAACTCAATACTTTAAATGTTTTAATAACAATACTTTAAAATAAGTTACGAGCATTTTGGTTTTAAACTAATGATTTGAAAGAACCCAAACACTGAAGTGTGATGACAGGAAAGAGGTAGAGAGAAGTGAATGGGCCGTGAGGAGTGGATTTCTGGAGGAGGCAGCGGTCAATGATGAAACCTGCTCCGAGCAGTTCATTCTCAAAAAGGTGCTCAACCGTTTCTTCTTATATATATATATATATATATATATATATATATATATACAGTATTACAATTTTTTTTATTAACAGTCCTTTGTATACTATAATTTAAGACAGTTAATCAGATAATAGATCTCTAAATTAGTTTATTATCTGGTTATAATAACTAGCAATATGTGTGTATATATTTAAATGTTATGCTCAATCGTCGAATTTGTCCTAGAACGAAGTTTTTATCCTTACACTACAAGAGAGTTAGTTCTAAACGTTCAATTTCAAACGTTGTTGATCGTATATATTTAAACGTTAAGCTCAATCGTCGAATTCTTCCTGGAGCGAAGTTTTTATCCATATGTTAGAACATAGTTCTAAACGTTCAAGTTCAAACGTCATGTGTATATTTTTAAAACTTATGCTCAATCGTCGAATTCGCCCTGGAACGAAGTATTTATCCATACGTTACAAGGGAGTTCTAAACGTTCAAGTTTAAATGTTGTAACTGGAATTATCTATCTTTAATTTCAAATTAATTGTAAAAATAATCGCAAATCATTATTAAAAATTTATAAAGCAGTTAATTATTACTTCAAACCTCTATTAATTTTTTCGATTAAAAAATATTATTATACACATTATAATTATTTATTATTTAAAACTCAGCTCATATGACAGATTTAATTTCTGGAAAAATTGTTCTGTAATATTTATTTTAATTAAGATAAAATTTCAAGGATATCCAAAAGTATCTCATATACCGTTATGCCATATTATAATTATCATAGTTTGAAAATTGCCAGAAGGCTTTCGTGATGCTGAAAAAAAATGTATCACCGGTAAAAAAAATACATAAAATTCCTGAGAAAGAGGCTATCCTTAAGGAAGATAATCCGGTAAAATAAACAGGCATTATAGGACAATAATTTGCCTAGAATACAGAGTGTGAAAGCCGGCCTTCCAATTAGCGCCAGCGTACGCCGAGAGTTGATAATTGTCGTGAAGCGGCGAGGCAATTGTGAGGGGATCATTGTTTGGCGCCAGCCGCTTATGCAACCTCCTCCAGGTCGGCTATTTTTAAAGGCAACCGGTCCTTCGCGAAATGATTTGTCTTTAGATAAGTCTTAATTTTAGAACGGGGAGGGGGGGGCCGCCTCGAGGTCCCTTTCCGCGGTGGGTCCTCCTCCCTCTAGCACCGGACGGCTGGAGGTCAGGTTTTACTCAATATTGTATCTATAGTATAACTCGGTGAGAACTCACACATTCCATTTTCCAGGATCCAGGATTTAATTTTGGGGAAGGTTTTACCCCGAAAGATTATTTTTTTAAATATATATATTACGATAGTTACTTTGGCAGAAAGAAAGTAATTAAGGATCCAGAGGTGCCCACCCCTCCCCCCTTCCAAGATATTTTATTGCTCATCTTTTCTTAAAAACAGATCAAACAAAGGTAGAATTAGAACACAATATATATATGTTCTATGGTTGACTGTCGTGGATAATGAAGAGAAGAATAGTTGGGGTGGTCAGTCAAAAAAGAAGGCAAAAATAAATGATAATATTTATTTTTACATATGCCGACGTTTCGACCTGAAGTTCAGGCCTTCATCAGGGCTAAGAAAATAACCAGATAACAAGGTATGAGAAACATAAGTAGTGATGGTAAAAAAAAATAAAGAAAATAATATAAAAAAATTAAGCAAAATGAAATTGTTAGAATAATAACAATAGTAAGAACTAAGAGATAAATAATAATAATCGTTACAAAGTGTGGAATGATGAAGTAAGTATAATCAAAAAGGGTGAAGTAAGTGTTAAAAGTCATTATTCTAACAATTTCATTTTACTTCATTTTTTTCTTTATTTTATTTTTTACCATCACTACTTATGTTTCTCATACCTTGTTTCTGGTTATTTTCTTAGCCCTGATGATGGCCTGAACTTCAGGTCGACACGTCGGCATATGTAAAAATAAATATTATCATTTATTTTTGCCTTCATTTTTGACTGACCACCCCAACTATTCTTCTCTTCATTATATATGTTCTAATTCCACCTTTGTTTGTTTGTAATTAAATAAACTTGTTGGGGGTAGAAAAAAAATAATGTAGAATTAGAAAAATCGGTGATTATACAATTACACTTGTAGCAATCTGTTCGAATGTTTTCTCACTGTCCCTTAGTATAACAGGTTTCATTCTGAAAATTCATAACCTCGCCAAAATATACCTCAACAATTTTGTTGGCGCCATCAAACCCCTTCTGGGCACTCCAGTGAGGACCTGTATGAAATGGTGTTTAAGTCATTCTTTTTAATTATCAAATGTTAATAGGACTTAAGTAAGTTTGACTGTTATTAAATTAGACAAACAATAATGGTAATGTGAAATATGTTTTTCAAAAAATATGGTAGAACAGTGAAGGATTCGGAAATATTCTGAGGAAGGGCGCAATCCAAAATTTTATCAAACAAATAATTTTTAGTTATACTTGTAGTCAAAAACAACGAATAATTTTAAAAATCTGAATATTTACTCAAAATATTCTATATTTGTTGGCGAAATATTCGAATATTGTAGCTGGAAGTAGTTGGTAGAGTGCTCTGGACCAGAGAGCTATTTTAAATTGAATTTGTGAAAAACAGTATGCAAAATTGTCTTGTTTTATATACATATGCACACGAAAAGAAATTTGTGTTCTGTTTCGTCTAGTATTTTGCCACAAAATGGCGGTCAAAATTTCTTCAAAATTGACGTAAATAAACCTAAAACAAGACATTTTTGCATACAGTTTTTCACAAATTCAATCAACAATAGCCCTCTGGTCCAGAGCACTCTAGCAACTACTTCCAGCTACAATGTTCAGATATTTCGCCAGTAAATGAAGAATTTTTAGTTTAAATATTCAGATTTTTAAAATTGTTCGTTGTTTTTTACTACAAGTATAAGTAAAAATTATATTTTTGATAAAATTTACATATCAATTGAAATAATAATGATAAAAGACCGGTTGTTTGGTTAGTTTTTTCAAGATAACATTTTTTCTCAGCGCTTATAACTTTCCTCTGATTACTCAGTTGGTAAAACTTTGTTCTTTATTACAACTGTTAATGTAAATATTCACTTGATAACTAATTAGCTCGTTCTTCTGGAAAACATCCTTATAGTTTAATAGTTAAGCAATAAAATACCTTTATATCTGAAATTAGACTAATCCATTATTGTACTCGCTCAAGACATATGTTTGGTTTGTAGTTAAGAGTGATTACAAAAACCCATACCTGGATTTTTTTTATTTATTAAAAATATTACAAAGTTTTTTATTATCTGAAGTCCCCAAGGAACAGAGATAGTGTTGCCCAGAATAGGTCTTGGTCTTGCACTTTACAAGACCAAAATCATAGCCGCCTAACTGTTGCAAGAACAATACCAGGACTGGTAAAAAAATAGATTTTTTGAATACAAATTTAGGCGAAATAGTTACTAATACTTGACATTCTTAGTTGATGCATGTTAATAATTGGTATAACTAATATACTTTTGCATTTAACTCCTCTAATTCTTCATTCGGACATAAGTTTCTATCTAAAAAATTACAGTGATATCTCAACACTAATAAGCTAATAAGTAACTGCAAGACTCTTGGGCAAGAGCAAGACTCTGACCAAAACTGAGTTTGCAAGACCAAGACTCGTCTCGGTCTCGGATTCGGGCAACACTAAACACATAGCTGTTATCCTCCTAAAAGTGTCTTTTTATTTTATTTTGTATTTTCACTTTTTTATTTCCTCCACTCCCTAGCCTTTTTTCCCAAACTAGAGGAGAGGGCGGAGGATTATTGTCAAAGCTAAAACTTCTCTAGGTATCGGGATTTGAACTCGGAATCCTCGTCTTCGGTTTATCATCAGGTTTCTGGATAACGTGTATTTAGTACAAGCGTTAGCTCACTCCACTCCCTCCTACATTTGCCCTTTCGATAGATTTTTAGGTCGTTGAAAACTATTATAAATAGCAATGTTTTATTTTTTAAAGCCTTAACAAAATGTGCTAAGTATCAGATGACAACTGTAGTAACTACAACGATTTCAGCGAGAATTACGGCTTATCTCGAAAACGGAAGTATCGCCGCTCACTCATAGTAAAAGATACTTTTAATAATATTACAGTTGTTATTTAGAAACAATATACCATAAAAGAATAAATGTTTTATTGAAAATTAATATTAAACAATATATAAACACAGAGTAGGTTAACTTTGAGATTAAGAAATATTCCAAATATATAACAATATTAATCTTCAGGAGGCCAGAGGTTTTTCATTGCCTGTAATATTTTATTTAATACCCTCAGGAACATTTTTTCCCCTGTGTAATATTCCTTTTTTTAACAACATTTGATTCACTTCATTTGTGATGAAAGAATGTTATTTAATTTTTTAGAAGTTCATTTTATTTTTATTTCGTACTCTCAATAAAACAATACGTTTATAATTCAGGTTATGACCTCATTAGTGCAAGCGTAATAATTTATTAAATCATGTTTATTTGAAAAATCTGTAACAGTTCTTAATAAGTGACAAAAAGTAACTGACGAAAGACCTGTAACTATACCGGGTCCTTATGAAACCACGCGAGTTATGAAATCTTCCATATTTTTCAATGAGTTTTATTGTAGTTGTAGTAAAATCTTAAATCAGCATTTGTCACTTCTCCGCGAAATTTCCTTTCGTTTCATAATTCATTCATCAAAATCTATCACTCCTTAGAACCGGAAAAGGGAACTAAATATAGTAAACACCGAACCTAGGAGTACATATAAACTACCGTATTATATATAGTGCGGATAGTTCAAAAAAGTTAAAAATTCAAGACAGTGTGTACATTAAAAAAAATTATGGCAGACAGACTCTACGATTCTCGGGATACCTGTCCAAACATGGAGACAAGGATCCAGTTATACCTTGGAAGAAACCACTTAGCCTGGTGGTGTTTGAGGAGCAGT